CTAATCAAGGGGTTGATTAGCCATCATATTTAGTTTTTCTTTTTCGTTATTTAAATAGGACATTTTTCTTATTTTGCTTTATTCAAAATCCTAGCCGAAAATCACTTCATTAATTGGAAAGTTGGCTTCTGTTATTTCTTCTGTTTTTTGTCTGCTTTTCTTCTTCTTCTCAAGCTGTTCTTCTGCATTGTGTATTTCAAATATAATTTTAAAAAGGATCTTAATCCTACCAAAGAGGAGTGGAGGATTAAGGTTAGGGTTGTTATGACTTGGAAGATTCCTAATTTGTATCGAAAAGATTTTGATGACAATGTGGAGAAGGTTCTATCATATGAACAGGTAATACTTTTGGTTTCTATTTGGCATAACTATTGTGAAATTGTTGGGCCATGCAATGGGAGCTCATGGCGGGAGAGACCGCCAACTATGGGCCAAGTGAGCAGCAATATTAAGTGGGCTCAGAACACCATAATCAAACCCAAAATCTTAAGACATTAGGTGCATGGGTCCTTCCACTTATATGGTTCTTACTCAGTCCATTCTTAATCAATGTGGGGCTCTTTCACTCAATCATTCACACTTGGATTCTTCAACATCTCCCCCTCAAGTGTGAGTCCTAGGCCCATATTTTTTCCCCTCAAGTAGAAACTTCTTCGAGTATTCACGGGGTTCATCAATGCTTGGCTTCTCATCAAACATTGGCTCTTTCATCAAGGCTTGTATGGCTGCACTCATCAAGACCTTGGCTTCCCACATCAAGACATACTCGGATCACCACAGGCCAATCCACCATTAGCTCTGATACCAATTGTTGGGCCGTGCAAGGGGAGCTTATGGCAAGAGAGACCGCCAACCATGGGCCAAGTGAGCAGCGACATTAAGTGGGCTCGGAACACCACAATCAAACCCAAAACCTTAAGGCATTAGGTGCATGGGTCCTTCCACTTATATGGTGCTTACCCAGTCCATTCTCAGTCAATATGGGACTCTTTCACTCAATCATTCACACTTGTATTCTTCAACATTTATTAATGTGTGAGTTTTGTAGGATGGAAGGATCCATGCTACTGTGAAAGGTTTTTACAAGTCCAAAATATAATTCGTGAAGGAGATATCTATTTTATTAGAAATTTTGGAGTTGGTTTAAATAGTGACAATTTCGGGTCAACTAGGCATGATTATTGTCAATTGTCATTGTTGATGCTACTTTTTCTGCCAATGCATTCAATTTTGTTGATTTTGACATTATTAAAGAAGCACCTAACTGTCCTTAGTTAGTAGGTGATATGTTTTGTCTCTGATATCACTTATTTATTTTTTTTGTTTTTAAGATTATTATATGTCCAACTTCTTTATTTTGTAGACATCATTGGTTTACTATCAAGATTTGGGGAAGTTCGTTAGCATGTTGTCTGTAGTAGAAAAATGAAAATGTTTGTGTTCGTGAGCATGTTGACTCGAATGTATGTTGTTTTAATTTTCAAACGTTATTTGATTATATTAGTACTTTGCATTAGTTCTACAAATATTTTTAATTTTCAGGATCAAACAGTATTCGATAATGCTTACAACACTGATGTTGTATCAGCAGATCTAGAAAGAGCTGCAGTATCTTTAAATTAAAATCAGATTTGATCAATTAAATGTTTTTTTGCCTTATTTGTATAACGTTTCATAATTTTATACAATTTCAATGTCTTACCAAGATAATGAGAGTCAAACATGTGATAGTGCCGATGTTGCTAATGTTTCCTTCACTTTGTTGTCACCGTTGATTATAAAATCTGATGCCGTCAAGGAAGAAGATTTTAATTTTTCAGTTAACCGTCCTAACAAAAAGATTAAGATAGAGAAAGATTTAAGTACTTACCAATTATTTGTATTTTTATAATTTTTTACTACATATTATTTCTATATTCTATATCATTAATACAATATAGTGAACCCGACAATTTTTTTTAATTAGTTCTATTGCTGAAGTCGGAGACACCTTACTGGAGAAAGGGAAGTTGGGTAACATCAACATTGTTCTGGGTTTTGTTGAATTATATATTTGAGAATTATTAGACAGTAGAAAATGTACAATGTCTTAATGACGTTTGATTGAACGATTGTGGATGATTGTCTAATGTTTAACATGATGTTAAACATTAGTTATTTGACGTTATGATATTTAATATAATCTAAATTTTTTGTGTTTATTTTTCTTCTTCGTCTTCTGAAGTTAATGTTCTGCAATAATTAATATACAACAATTTTTTGTGTTTTATTACAAAAAAAAAATTAATAAAATATCTTTAATGAAAAAACGAAGAGACACATTTTGGATCGTAAAACTATGTTTGTCATTAAAATTTCTATTATTCATGTGTCTACACTTCAACCAACTTCTTTTAATTTATATGTTTCGTGAAGTTTGTTTTTTTAGTAAACTACATGTTAGTCTCTTAGTCTCTTAATCCTGATTATTTTTTGAAACCTTCTGATATATTTTTTTTCCTAAACCTTCTTTCAGTGGTTGATTCTTCATCTTCTGCAAAGCGGGGAATAATATAGAAACAAAGATAGATACCCCTGAAATCTTTTCCAAGGGATTTATTATTTCAGATTTTTTGAGTCACTAATGTAACATTTTTTTAGTCTATTATAGACACCATTCAATATTAAGTTGCAAATTTCTTATTTATATTATCTTTTAATTATTTCTTTAATAATTGTGTCATAGAAAATTTTATTCATAAAGTTTATTTAAAATTCGTATTAACTTTTACAAGACAAATAAATCGATTTTTTTTTTGCTGCGTGTATTGCACGGGTAATAAACTAGTTGTGGATAACTCAAATTCACTTACCTTAGGCATATTTTTATTAATTAATCTGTAACATTAAAACTCATGCATGAATAATAAAATTACGAAATATGATAATAAAATTATGAAATATGATAGATATATGAATTCTAGAATCAAACTTTTTGTCTCAAACTCTCTTAATTAGGGAAAATAAAAAATATAATAAAGATGAAATATAATTTCCTTTGCATTTTAAGTGTTTCTTTACCAAAAAATAAATAAGTGTTTCAAATAAATTGGGACTTCGATTGAAGAGAGCTCTTCATGATTACATTCAGAGTTACTTTAGCTTCATATAGTTGGATCATCTTCCTGGATAGGTTGCTCATCTATTACCATAGTATTAGTTTCTTCAATTTCTTGCTTTTGACTTCTTCCTTCTATATATTTTTCACTGAACTTACCCTTGTGAACATTACATTTGATTTCTTCACCCGATTTTTAATCTACCAACATATAAACAGTAGAAGTTTCAATAATTTGAATAGCAGCCTTTATTTTCTAAACTTGCCAAGCCCTCCTCACTATGATTCATACTTGCCTCACCTGATGTATTCACCAATTGACTAGTCTTCGATTGGCAATTTTCAGAACGATGGCCATATTTACCACAGTTATAACATATACCAAATGTAACCTTCATATTCAACCTTCTTCAGTCTACCCTCAATTTTATAATCTGCCTGTAGGGGTTTGCCCAGTCTAACTCAATACAAATTCGTGCAAATTTTCCTCGAGCTAAACAGGTTGTGGCTGTATCCATTTTAACAAATTTTCCTAGCCAGTTCCATACTTCTTTAAGCAAGTTAGTATTAACATATTCCATCGGAAAATTTGGAAGACGAACCCAAGCCATAATACGACCAATTTCAGTAAAATGGGGTTGGAAATCAGGTTCCCACATTTTTATTGTTAAATAATGATCAAACAAAACCCAGGGACCAGTAGAAAAGGCATAATCCATATCTTTTTTATCAGTGAACCTTACCAAGAAGCCATTCTCCACATCCGTGACGAAAATTTTCCCTTCCCTTGCCCACATATTCTCAATCCTTTTCTTCATGATAGGAAGTGCCAGCTTTTTTCGCAATAATTTTACATAAATTGATTTCTTCCATGGCCTCTAAGCACGATTTTTGAATGCATCTGATAGTTTAGAATTGACCCTACCCTCCCCATTAGTCTCCCGGAGAACCTCTGAGTTATCTCTTTCCTTCGATTCAGCCTTCGCATCATGGAAATCTTCATCCTCTTTTTCTGATTGCTTCTCCTCATTCGCTTCTTGCATCTCTCACTCACCACTGTGGTGCATGAGCATTTCCTTGAAGGGCATCTTCTCCTCCATCCACTCTTCATCTCGTGGTGCCATTGTTTGGTCGTGACTGAAAGGAGTATCTCCCCCTTTGTATTTCTTCGTATTCCTCTTCAAATTATCTACTTCCTCCGGTGAGAGATCCGACGATGTCGTAGTTGCGCTAGGGTTTGCCATTCTCGGATGCGCAAAGTTTATGACTCACAATTGTCTATCAACCTTTTAATTTCTTCCATATTTTATATATACATAGAGTTGTATTGGGTTATATTATTTAATTAGAAGAAATTGGAGCAAAATATTATATACTTTTCAAACTCTAATTTTTTTCTTATTTTAAATTTAAAATGATAGCATTTCTAAAAAATATAGCATTTCTAAAAAAGTGTGAATTTAAAATAAAAAAAATAAGGAACAAAGCTAAGTTTATAAAGGATTCCATTATTATTATTTTGTACCAATCTGGTTTAGATATTTTTGTTAGCTTCTCGAAGCCAAGTCAAACACTTCTTTATATCACTACAAAAAAATAAGTGATTAGTGGAGGTTATTTAGTGTAGGTCAAAAAAACCTCCACTAAATAATGTAATTTTTGGCAGATTTTAGATCTCCACAATTTATTATTATGTTTTTCTAGTTTATATTGCTTTATAATTTATATATATATATATATATGTATATATATAATTTCTTTTTAATTTCTATTTACTTTATGCATATTATTAATCTCTAGAAATTTTTTTAAAGTTTTTCAAAAAAAAAAAATATTTGCATTTTAAAAATATTGTTGTGAACTATACGATTTGTTGAAATGTCTTTCACTGTTGTGAAGTCTAGTTTGCTCTTCGCTCCTTTATCGAGACCCTAACACTCGTTCTCCTCTCAACCAGCCGTTACAACATCTCACTCTGCTTCAAAACCCAAAATCATTGGATTAAGGTAACTCAATTAACTTCAATTTCTCATCGTGTTCATTACTTGTTTATTGACTTTAACATCTCTTCTATTAATATTCAAGATTTTTCAGTTCGAGATTGCTCCAACCTGGTTCTTACTCTTCTCACCATCACTGATTCTAATTCTTAATTTGTATGAGTTCTCCGTTAACTGATTTAGCTTCTTCTTTTTTCATTCATTCAACGCTTATTGCCTTCACGCAGCTACAAATGGAAACACCGGCGGCGACGACGGTGACGACAACTGTCTTCCCATCATCGGCCGATCCATTTAAGCCGTCGATTTTCCTCGGAGGGTCCATCGAATTGGCATTCCGTTCCAATTTTCAGATCTCCAGTAAGGTATCAAATCGCTAGTTCATTTTTTTTTAATTTTTATTATGATTTCTGCTTGATATTGTTGGTGAGAATAACGAGTTTGATGAACTCTTGTTGAAATCATTTCTTTCTGGTATGGTTGTCTTTGTCGATGCTTGTTCGGTGGCTATGCTTTTACTAAATGGTGTATTATATTAGAATGAGCTTTAATACGATGTGTTTAGGTTGCAAGTTGCTAGTGATAGCTGCATTTTGCCAATTTCCTTGTTCCACTCAGAATGGTATACGGGATATTACCTTTTCTTATGAATATGTTATCTAATGATTTGTTGTTTTGGTTTTCTTATGAGAATATATATTGTTTCTTATGACAATTATGTAAGAATTGAATTGAATTACAATAATCCTTCTGACTTTCAAATGGCAATAGAGGAGGCATTTTTGGTAGATCAGGGCTTCACAGAGAAATTATAAGGAGCAGTAACTCAAACCAACTAGTTTTAAATGATTCTATTGCGAGTCCATCATGTTTTTATTTTTAACCTTGCTTGTCATTTGATTATTTGTCTTCAGTAATATAAGGAGGAGTAACTCTCATGCCTTGTATGATGTACATGGGTCCTAGTTGCAGAGTGAGATGTGTTTATGGGAATACTTTTGGGTTTGCAATGGGTGAGAAAGATTTTGGATGTCTCTTACTTTATATTTTAAAGTTCTTGAGCCCACCAAGTCAGAGGTTGTCCATTGGAATGCCACCTACTTTTTTGAATAGCAAGTTGTCTCTTGTTGTATGCTGAAGAGATTTTGAGGGAAATAAAGTCCTTTTTTTTTAAGTTCAAATAACATGTTATGCTGTCAACAGTTAAGTTAGCCTGCAACTAGTGCAGAAACTCTTGGGGGCCAATTCTTGTGCAAAACATGTGCCACGGTTTGTATATCTTGCATTTTTCTTATATTAAGTCTACAATGAAAAATTATAGTTAGTTCTGTATTTGTCTTGAAGATTGCATATTTTTTGTAGTCTTTGAAGTCATTTTTTACTGATTGATATTATTCTGTTTTTTGAAGAATCATGAATGCACTCATTATTACTTCCCTACTTGCAAAGCAAAGTTTGATTTTGAGTTATCTGATTCAGAAAAATCACAGCCGAAAGTCAAGTAAGTCATTTTTGAGTTATTAATGCCATACTTGCAAAGCAAAGTTTGATTTTCAGTTATTTGAAGTCATTTTTTATGATTGATATATTCTATTATTTTTATTTTTTTATTTCTTACCTTTTTATTCTCTTCTGTCCTCCTATATAGTATTATTTCTTGTAATTGTGTAATGCTTTTTCTATGGATATATATATATATATATATATATATATATATATATATATATATATATAGAGGCAGGATCCTTTGACACTGGTGTCAAATTTTAAATTTGACACCTCATATGAGAGCCGTTAGATCAAAAAAGATAAATGACTCTGATTTGTAAGCATGTGGCACCATTGATCTTTTTTGATCCAACGGCTCTCAGATGAGGTGTCAAATTTCAAATTTGACACCAGTGTCAAAGGATCCTATCTCATATATATATATATATATATATATATATATATATATATATATATGAGTGTGTGTGTGTACTTAATTTTTTTTTTCTTCACAATATTTTCCGTGTTTGAAGGTTGACTTGTCTGGAAGGAGAGAGTCCCCAGAGGAATTCACTTACAAGGATGTTGATTTTCCAAAGTCAGTGGATTGGAGAAAGAAAGGTGTTGTAACCCAAGTTATGAATCAAGGTTCATGTGGTAAGTTCAAATGTAAAGAGATGTTATTTATGTGTTAAATGATGAAAACTATGAGCATGATTATTTGCAGGTAGTTGCTGGGCATTTTCCACTGTTGCAGCTGTTGAGGGAATAAAGATGGAATATATATTGACTGTGACAGAACTTACAACAATGGTTGCAATGGGGGTCTCATGGACTATGCATTCTCCTTTATAGCAGAAAGTGGTGGAATCCATAAAGAGGACGATTATCCTTACATTATGGAGGAAGGTACTTGCGAGATGAGAAAGGTAAGCTAACAAATTAAGTCTAACATAGCCATCGTGTATATATATATAGTTCCAATAACGTAATAACTAAACTTTCACTTGTTATTCCAAACCTAGGCTTTGCTTCACTTTCTTTTGTGTTGGGTTCTTGTTTTCAAATCTAGGCTTGGAAGCAAAGCTTACAGAGCCTTCTATCTCGAAAACATGGTACTCTGTCTTCTCTTCAATTGAAAGACGTACTTGATGTTTGTTGCCCCGTAATCAAAGAAGTAGTCACACTCCTGCACACTAATTGGAGTTGTTTAGTTTCACGCTTTTATTCTTACTCCAATTAGTTTAGTTTTCATTTTAATTTTTTTTCATGTTCTGATTAATTAAGAATATATAAAGAATGAAGACTCATGGATTTAGTGAAAATCATAAACCCATTTGAAAACAAAGCAATTATTAAACTGAAACTTAGAACATTTGGTTCTTGAATTAATTATGATAGCTGTTCTTGAATTAATTATTAAAGCAATTTTACAGATTCCGATATTGGGTTCCATGGAAGATGGAGAGATAAGCATATCTGCTTATGACACAGTTTAGGGATAAAATCTCTGAAGCAGAAGGCATTGTCTAATGTGACAGGTATATTGAATAAACTATTATAGTTAACAAAGGTAAAGGTGCATTGTAGGTGGTGGAAAATATTAATAAAGTAGTGTTGACGTTTCTTATCTTTTTTGTGAGACACGAGTGGAAGAAGTTAATGCAGATAGTAGGACAAGCAAAGTAGTAGTGTTAAAGAAGCGCAGGCTTGACGAGTAACCATCTAAACACCAAATACCATGCTTTGGTTTCCATTCTTTGTCATTGGTTCAAATGGAAATTCAATTGCCTTGTTCCAAGTGCTGTTTGATTATGAGATTTACCAAAGTCAATTCATTAATAATTATAACAAATCTATTTGCTCACATTTGAATCTGATGTCAGTTTGAGTTACTTTCAAAAGTAAGTCACGTTGTATTAAATGAATTATGGTAGTTGTATAATATTTTTTTTTCATTATTCTTTATACAAGTACAATCATTTAACTAATAAAGTTTTTATTTTATGGGGAGCTAATGCTAGAATCTAATAACTTATTGCTTGTAAATTCTTCGAATTATGTCCTTTTTTAAGGTCAAAATCGGGTTTGAGGTGTGGAAGAATTAATTTCTTCAGCAATAAATGTTTGGATAATTTGTTTGGTTTTCGAAATAAATTATGGTTAATGAGATTCATTTTGCGATAAGTAAATTTTAAGTGTGGCTTGAATTTTTTTCAAATAACAAATAAATTTAGACTTGAAATGCTTTTATTATTCAAATAAAATCATTTCTGTAAGCTCATTTTTTATTTTTTTTTAAATATAATAAACAGATTGTGGAGGTCTATGCCCTCCAAGAAATGATAAATGTTGTGGGGTCTATTGAGTGACAGAAAGTCAAACATATTGTGAAGGTTAGTAAACCTCCAGAAACATAATATTTGTGGGGGTCTGGAACCTCCAGAAAATGCAACATTTGTGGAGGTCTACAACTCCAGAAAATATTTTAACAAATTGTGACATTGCACACAAAACCCCTCACAAAATGTGTTGCGGCGCATGCGAAACTGGAGGTTGCTATGAATGCCACAAAAGCCTTTTGTAGGGGTCAAAGACCTCCACAAAACACCTTAATTTTTGTAGTTTATAAGCTCTTTGAAAAATTAGCTTTTTTGTTGAATAAAGAAAATATAAAAATAACTTTTAATGAAAAGCTTCCAAGAGGAGCTTCTAGTTTAAAATATATATATATATATATATATATATATATATGTTATTCACGTGATTACATTTTCCTATCAAGTGTAGGTCATGTAGGTCTCATGCTGGAGTTGTTAAAAGTATTTATTTTTTTAAGATATTAGTATATTACAAAAATTTATAAAATTATTTATTTATGTAAATAAGTATTTGAAAAATGAAAAATTATATGTATATGAGTATGTTATTTATAAATTGATATTTTAGTAGTAAATTTTTTTGTTTTTAAATATATTAAATGGTAAGTATTTGTCAATTTTTTGAGAATTAATTTTTTATTTTTTAAATAATTTTTTATTTGAAGCTTCCCTATTGAGATTTGCAATTGTATATCTGATCCGACCTGAATATTTTTGATCTGACCGTGATTGATGAAACTTCTTTGGTGATTCGATGTAATTTTTTATGGGCCTTTAAGAGGAGAAGTAGGGAATGTATTTGTAAGATATCTGATGCTAAATTTATTTAAGTAGGTTTAAATATATTGAGTGAAGATATCACCTCATATTTATAACATTGAATTTATAACGGGGGATGATAAGCTTTGGGAGTTCAATAATTGTTCTGAAAAAGTTTTCTATCTAAATATTTATGGGTTCATCGTATGTAAGATTTGTCTTGCCACCCTCTTATAATTTTAAAATAAGAAAAAAATAATTTTAATATTATAATTAGAGGAAAGATATGTTTATAATTTTTTTTTATATAAATTTTTGCAAATTACATTTTGTACTCCTGGAAGTACATAGTGTACTTCTGGAACTACATAATATAGTTTGTAAGAGTCTGTAAACAAAAAGTTTATAAATATAACCTCTCCTTATAATTACGTATTCTCTGGAATACATTGTTATAAGGTAGTGATATGACAAAACTTATATCCTGCAATATTATACTTACATTTTCCAATTTTTATATGTATAAAAAATACGGAATATGTTTCTCTTATTGCATAAGATAAAATTGTCTCGTGCTCCCACATAAAGTGAGTAGGACCCACTTTTTTTTCTCTATTTTTCTCAATGGGTCCCACCTATATTTTTGTGTGTTGTATGATACAATTTTGTCTAATACAACATGAGTAACATATTGCCATAAAAAAATATAGAGACTCAAAAAAATTAAGAAACTAAATATGAGTAAAAAAAAAAAATTGTATAGTGATAATTAAATTTTCTACCAGTGGGATCAAGGCCTTCACTTGTTACTGATTGTTGGGCTTCCTCCTTCAATGCTAAGCCCAAGCCCATTGAGGGATTTCCTAAAAACCCTAACCCTAGATCTCACCTTCTCTATATATTCATTAGTTGTGGGTGGAGGCTAGGTTAAGTGAATGAGAGAGAAAATTTGAGAGATAATTATTTGATTGTTTGAGCAAAGCTTTATGCTTTGCATTTGAGAGATCTCTAGAGAGAGTTTGAGAGAAACATCTCTAGGGTAGTTTGGTTATCACCATTGTTGGAGAGGTTGAGTTAACCACCACATTAGTGTATTCTGATTATTTTGTAACCATTATTTTCATAGTGAATTTTTGATCTGGACTAGGTCCCGTGGGTTTTTACTTCTTTATTAGATAAGGTTTTCTCACGTTAGCATTTTGAGAATAACTAAAATGTGACTAAATTAGGTAAATACATAATAGTTAATAAATAATAGTGATAACAATGTAGATAAATACATAATATATTATAAAGACTTGAATGATTTTCAATAACAATAATTTTGGATATTAATGAGTTAAGTGGAACCTTAAATGTAGTTGTGGACTTCTCTAACAAGTCAAAAGTTTTACAATCACGAGCTTTTCTATGCTGTTAGGCAGCTAAAAACATAAAGTGTAGAGTACAAATTCCTCAAATTCACGGTCATCGTTTAAAAGTTTGTGACAGCGGAGAGAGTTGAGGAAGGAATGCAAATTTGCAATAAAGGCCATTGTAATGACTACTATTCCGATGCACATGTTATGCGTTGGTCAGCCACCCACCCACATGGCGTTGGTATATAGCCAATGCTTGGCGTAGAGATTGTTGCTACTGATTAGTCTTACATCAACAATTACAAAATCCTCATTCCATGCTTGATCAACTCGTAATTTGTAGCCAAAAATGAGGACAGGTCCTTCATTTGTTGGGCAAAATATAATCAACTATGTGTCGTGAATGTGATTGATTGATACTTTTACTAAACAGTCAAACCATTTCAGCAGCAAAGAAAGCATTTCCAAGGATATGCACAAATCATCGGATTGAAGTTGATTAGTGTCGTGACTTTGGCAAGTGCACTGGTCATAAAAGTAATAAAGTGTTTTGAGTACAAGATAGTTCTTAATTATAAGGATCAGAATTTCAATCACTAATGTGCTGTTTAGGCTTAAGTTGGACAATCAATCAAGAGAGTTGAATGAAATTTGCTCACAAATATTATATGAAAATCAAACTAAATGACAAAGTAAGAAGGTAAAATTTGGATTACTTGTCAATTAAAAAATGCAGTTAGGAATTCGACTTCTCCCAATTTTCCTTTTATGTTCTAAATTAAAACCTAATTAATAGCCCTTTTTTATATTGCCCATCAATTCTCCTAAATTAGTTAAAACTTAATATCTTGGCATTCTAACCCTTTACTCCCTTAAGAGAATCATAATTCCTTGGTGTTTCTTGTTGCGAATTTGGCTAGTATACCGTTCGTTTCAAGTAATAAAATGATAAGTAAGATATCGTTTGTTGGGAAATCGGCAAGTATATCGATCGTTCCAAGTAATAAAGTGATAAGAAAAGTATCGTTCCCACGAGGATTAATGCACCAAGTACTAGTTTAACTATTCCCCTTAAGTTGGAAAATAAAATTGATTTTGGTTGTGAAAGTAATTGATAGTTGGAATTTTAAAACAGAAATTTAAAACAATAATATTTAAAAAGCATGCAAGAAAATCAAGAATGTCAAGAATATCAAGAAAATATGAAATTGATTGGAAATTGTAAAAAGACTGTAGCCAGGATGCACTTCACCTCTGATCCTCCCTTATATTCATATATTGTATTTTATAATTAATTAATTCGTTTGTTCAGACAATTCATTATTTCCCTATAAAATAGTTGAACCCTAATGTCTTAGTGATTTCAATCCTTTAACCCGTCAGAATTCTAATGTCTTAGTAATCCCTCTTGAATTAAGCATTAAGCAAATGAATTATGAGTCTGCAATCTATGTAAGCCTATGTCTAGATCATACACAAATTGTTATTCTACCCTTGTCCAGATTAAAACCCCAATATGTCTATTGTGAATTCTAACACTCAAAGTCCTATAATTTAGAGTGATCAATTCTAAACAGGATATGAAAAATTAAACCAGGTAGAATAAAACAAACTACTAATTAAATTATAAAAACAATATAGGAAATATAAAGGATTCACATTGGGTCCGTGATCCCAACTACAAAAACAAACTAGCCAGACATAGCTAGCTTAAACAAATTAAAATAATAAAAAGAATTCATAAAGCAATAAAGAAAAAGAAGGAGAAGAAGAAGAAGGATCAATGATCTTCGGTCTTCAACTTCGTCGGAATCCTGATCTCCAGCGTGAGCCTCCAAGAATTCTATCCAGCCAAAGATTGTTTGCTATGAGGTCTGGGTCTCTATTTATAGAGTTTATGCCTTTCTTAGAAATCTTGATCAAATCTTCACTAGAATCTTCACTAGAATCTCTAATCATATCTTTGACCAAATCCTTCAAATCTTCCTCTTTTTAATTTAATGGAAAACTTTCCTTAAAAATATTCAAACGAAGATTTGATAAGGTATTCAATGATTCAGAAATCCAAAGCAACTCTATTTGATATCTCCAATTATCTCTTTATTGAGCTGAAATTACTGCAAAATATCAGAAATCTAATGAGAATATTATTGAGAATAAAATAACAATTTAATTATATATCTCATACTTTTTAATTACTTTTAAATCATTTTCACACTCATATTGACCCTTAATACATAGTAAATTTGAGACTTATCAAACAATTTCCAGATTTAGACATTGCTGTCCTCAGCAATAAACTAGAATAAACACTATGAAGCATGAATGTAATCTTGTGAGAAGAGACAATAAAATTCAAGCATAACATAACATCAAACAAATAATTTAGAGCAGAAGCTCATGAGAGTACTATACTAAGCATGAATGATT